ATAAACATACATAACTCATGCGCACACCAGCACGCACAGAAACAGACACACACACACACACATGCATAGATACACACACATGCATACATACACATCACATCCATACACACGCACACACATGTATACATACATAATACATCCATACATACATACATAATACATGCATATTTAGATATTAGTGTATGGAACTCATCTCAAGTGAGATGAGAGAGGGTGTTAACGCATCTCCGTAAAATCTTCATGTAATGTACACAGTCTCCCGAAATATCTACAATATGCTGTAAACCACACATGCGTACATGACCATACTTACGCCATAGACACAGGGTGTTCGGCATGGCGAAGAAGATGAAAATGGAACAGGAGGCCATGCAGACCTAAAACCCTAAACCCTAAACCCTTAGGCAATGTGTACCTGGACAAAGTAGCTTATCGTTCATTCTGTATATGTACGCCACACCTTACACCCTACACCTTAAACCCTAAACCCTAAACTCTACATTCATTTAGGTTGGAGAAAACGAAGCGAACTCACAGAAACTGTTGGAGGCTTCGGAGAACCATGATCCATATGCTGACGAAGCTTCGTCAAGCACAGGTATGGCCACACACCGGATGTGTAGTATAGAGCATATACACAGGGTCAGCTGCATTGTAGACACACACACACACACACACACACGCACCACCCCCCATATATATATATATATATATATATACATGCATCGAATTGCTTGCGAACACTCAAGTATAACGTATGTACAGAACAGAGGCAAGCTTATTTATCCACCCACACCCACAGCACAAGACACACATGCGGCAGGCAGGGATAGGTATGTTTATTTAAACCCATTGTGATAGCTTGTTTATTTAAACACATTGTGAACGCTTGTTTATTTAAACACACTGTGAGCGCTTGTTTATTTAAACACACTGTGAACTCTTGTTCATATATATACCTCCTCGCCTCGTCATATCCGTTTGACGATAGTAGGGCTGTGATGCCTTTACCCACTCCACCACTCCATTTTAACACCAATGCTGCGCTCGCACTATCCAAAGTTAACGCAATGCGGACGTTTCTCGTACCATGCGATGTGCTGGCGAGAGAAGTTTTCTTTTGCGTTTACGTTTATGTACATCTAAACGCACACATGCACCAGACCCACCTGCTGTACTACCGGCGGGTACGTCTATATACGTACGGGCACTTAATTACCGAGTCCCCTCTTATTACTACACCACAGGCACGTGCCTGAAAATACGTAAACGTACACGCTCATTCTTAAACGTTACCCACCTCGTACCTCTCCCCTCGCTCCCTACTACACTACACCAAACCACACTACACTACACTACACTACACTACACTATACTACACTACACAACACTACACAACACTACACTACACTACACTACACTACACTACACTATACTATACTATACTATACTACACTACACTACACTACACTACACTACACTACACTACACCACACTACACTGCACTTTACACTACCCTACCCTACACTACACTTTACACTACCCTACCCTATACTACACTTTACACTACCCTACCCTACACTACACTTTACACTACCCTACCCTACACTACACTTTACACTACCCTACACTATTCTTTACACTACCCTACACTATTCTTTACACTACACTTTACACTACCCTACCCTACTCTTTACACTACCCTGCACTACACTTTACACTACCCTACCCTACTCTTTACACCACACTACACTACACTACAGGCGGGGCCGATGACATGGACCTTCCCAGTTACGGTGATGTGCTTGGCGATGGTGGTACCTCCGCTCCCTCACACGCTCGGTTGAACCAGCTGGGCAACCGCTCCACAGTGCGCATGGGCATGTCCACTGCTGTGATCCAGGGCAGCACAGACGAGTTCAACCTCATGTCCCATAACGTCGACGCACGCGGCCGCAACGGAGCGGTCGAGGCAATGGAAGGTAGGGGACGGGCGTAGGGCAAGGGGAAGGGAAGGGGTGTACTGTGTGTGGGGTTGTGTGTGTAGGTAGAGAAGGAGTACGTATGTATTTGCATTGACAGTCGTCTCAGATGGGTGTATCTGGTTCACACGTGTATGCCCGGACGAAAGTACGCAAGTACACGTGTATATATCGACCACAGTATCGAGATGGATTGAAAGCTCTTCGTACGTATATTCATATGCTCTTCCTGGTTCCACGTAAACTGCTACAGACATTGATGAGGATGACAGCGACTTGAACATAGTAGCATCAAATATTCTGAGCGAATTCTCGCCATCGGATCCTGCCGCGCCCGAGTAAGTATCGACTCAACGCCGTAAGCCCTGTACCAATATATCAATGTATATATATAT